TCCTGAATCTGCTGGTTTTGATTTCTGTGCTTTGGTGCTTTTTAGGCGTCTTTGTTTGTGACATTCTACCATTTATTGCTAATATTGCATAGAATATAAAATACAATTTCGAATTTCGAATTTGTCCCTTAACATGCAGGGGCCGATGATCATATGGCCACTGAAATGGAGTTATCATCTTACATGCGTTCGCTTGCGTTAACAGAAATGGAGTGGATTTCCGGCAGTCAAGTGGATAGATCAGCTGTCACCAATCTTGACTCAAAGCATCAGAATATTCAGAACATGGAATCTGATGTCTGTTTGAAGTCTGATGGTGTAATTTCTTCTTCATTGGCAAAGAGAACAACTGCCATTCAGGACCAGTTGCATCAGTTTAGGAACTTCTTAAGCCAGCCTGCAACTCAATCCTCAGTTGTCGGGCCATCTTGTGCTACAACAACGTCTGTCCATGCTACTTCAGCACCCATGCTTAGTACAACAACTTATTGTTCTCATTTTCATAGCGGTCCTCATGTGGCAGTCGATCCTCAACCCGTAACTCAAGGGAATATGATGCATCCTGCAAAAGCTTCTTTAAAAGTCACCAGTGGAATGTCAACTGCCCAGGTAGCTGTTGCAGACCAAAGTTGTAACTCTGCAATTGATACCCAAATGCAAGTTAAGGAGTATGAACTCTCTAAGGATCCAATTGGCTGCATGTCGAAGGAAAGTAAGATTACAGAACGTCATTCTCTTCTTGATGCCAAGTCAACTGAAGGGAAAGGGCTTACATGTGATGTTACCAATCCACCATCACAGGTTCCTTTGCCCCAAAATTCATGTGCTGATATGAAGTCAGAGCCTTCTAAATCTGAGAAGCAACAAAAGGCTGTAAGTAGTAAAGGTGCATCAGCCCCTCGTAAAAGGAATTATGATCCGGAATTGTTTTTTAAAGTCAACGGGAAGCTCTATCAAAGGCTTGGAAAAATAGGTAGTGGAGGGAGCAGTGAGGTCCACAAAGTCATATCATCAGACTGTACAATCTATGCACTTAAGAAAATCAAGCTGAAAGGGCGTGATTACGCCACTGCTTTTGGCTTTTGTCAAGAAATTGAGTATTTGAATAGGCTGAAGGGAAAAAACCACATCATACAGCTTATTGACTATGAGGTATTCACTCTCAACCTATATTGTTCATACAATAACATGCAGATCATTGCATCTACAGCATTGCTATATTATGTCTCTGTAATAGTATGCAATTCAAATTTTCAAATCCTGCGATAGAGATGAGACCTAAGATGGTAATGAAGTCTTTTAAGTTTCAAATTAGAGCGTTGGCTGTAGAGTCTTGATCTCAAGATGGCCAAAATCATCTCAAGTCATAATGGAATTTCGAAGGAATATTTCACAATATAGCTCAACATAGCCAAGAGGAGCATCAGATGGCCAGAATGGTAGTTGATAAAGTGGCTTGATTAAAGTGAATGGCCCAAAGGAGATTGAGGTGGCATTGGAGAAGGCCAAGTTATATTTAGGTGTCTAAAATAATGGTGAAAATGATTAACTATCTGCTCTCGACATCTAATCTGATGAATTTTGTGTTGTGCATTCTTCTTAGAACAAGTTATACCTGTGATATTGCTGGCCATTTTGCAATGTACAATGTATGTGATGGACAATTAGAAACCCAAATATATGTACCGACAAGTGGAAATCCTTTCTGTAACAATTGTATTTCCTAATTTGATATTCCTGTTGGTTTATTTATAATAATTTTAATATTTTATATAATAATATGGATGAAATTCACACAGAAGATGCCTATGTACATTGACACAGATTGAGGAGACAGAGTTATTTTGATACTGAAGATGCTGATATGGAAATCCTAAGACGATAGGACTCTTTGGAATGATCAATTTTTATTTTTTATGGGTTTTCCATGTCTAAAAGTAGGATCTTTGCGGGCTGTACTATAATTCTGATTCCTTTTTTTGTATTAGGTGACAGATAAGGCTTTGCTCCATGAAGTCTTGAGTGGCTCCATGAATAATAAGGATGGCAGAGTCAAGGATGATGGGTATATATACATGGTACTTGAATATGGAGAAATTGATTTGGCTCACATGCTGTCTCAGCAGTGGAAGGAAATGGACGTCTCCAAAAAGACCATAGATGAGAACTGGCTACGATTCTACTGGCAGGTATATGTGCTAAATACCTTGATTTGTAGTTGGTATATTTTGCAGAGATTTTATTTATGTTTTTGTACTCAAAATATAATTTTTTGCAGGTTCACTCGTTCTCTAGTAGTTGGATGATTAGGTAGTTACTCATGTTGTTTGGTTAGTGATATTCTTTGGGGCACTTGTTAGGTTTTTTTTTTTATAGGATCCATACAGGTGCTGTTGGGAATTGTTATAAGCACTCCAAAATTGTCACCCTACCCTCCTCCCTCTCTTATTTCTCACTAAGGAGTGCGGGATGACTTTGTTGGAGTGCTATTAACAGTTCCCTAATCTTAATATGAATGCGTTTATTTTTCCTTCTCAAATATTGGATTATTTTTTTGGGTAACACTCTGTAATGTTTTCCCTAGTTACTACATTTGGCCATACTAGATTATGTTTGTCCTAACATGTGGTCAGCTTAAGGGAATTTAAGTATGGTTATTCAGTTGACCTCATTTAGAGTAGTGTATGGTTGTGCCTTGCATAGTGAAAATTTTAAGTAAAATGCTAGTAAACTGACTAAACTGACAATGGACTCACCCGATTTTTGTTATACTTCACAAAAACCCATCAAGGTATAGCTTTCTACCACTAGTTGTGTTTTCTCTAAAGTTGTATGAATCGCTTTTCTAACTTTATCACTGCATTTGCGGAAAGGTCTGGGGTATAATTTTGTGCATGTACTTTTAATTATCATGCGGAACAAATTAATTTTGGTGATCTTTCTGAGTATGTAAAAGCTGAACCGATCTTGTTGGAAAATGACAGCAAATTCTTCTAGCGGTTAACACTATACATGAGGAACGTATTGTGCACTCTGACTTGAAGCCAGCCAACTTCCTTCTTGTCAAAGGCTCTCTAAAGCTAATTGATTTTGGGATTGCCAAAGCAATAATGAGTGATACAACGAACATCCAGAGGGATTCTCAGGTGATTATCACTTAGGCTCCCCCCTCCCTCTTCTTTTCGGGAACTACAATCTATATGTGGACATACCCATTGAGTACAATGCATATCCTATTTTGTTCCCTTGTTTAGAAAACATATATCTGCAACATCTAGAAGGGGTTTCTCACTTTGTTTTGTAATGGTAAATTGCATTTGTAATCACATGTTTAATGTAGCTCTTAGTAACTGCAATGTAAGCTGGGATGCTGTACGGTTCTCTGTTCTAGCGAATATGGCTCCTTAATTTTTCATAACCAGACTGCTGAAGCGTGTTGGAGGTTATGGTATACCTCTTGTGTGTACTTTTGCTTAGTTCTTCTGTATACTACTCGTGCAGGTGGGTACACTTAGCTACATGTCTCCAGAAGCGTTCATGTGCAACGAGAGTGATGCAGATGGAAACACTATCAAGTGTGGTCGACCATCAGACATCTGGTCGCTCGGCTGCATCCTTTATCAGATGGTATATGGGAGGACACCATTTGCAGACTACAAGACCTTCTGGGCCAAGTTCAAAGTTATAACTGATCCCAACCATGAAATCACATATGAACCAGTCTCAAACCCCTGGCTTATGGACCTCATGAAAAAGTGCCTCGCATGGGACCGCAACGAAAGGTGGAGGATACCTCAGCTACTCCAACACCCTTTCATTGTTCCCCCAGTTCCACAGCAGCCATCTTCGCCTTGCGAGGAAAACTGTAAACTGCTTCAACTTATTTCCCAAACCTGTGCTGACGATCGCGAGGCTTCCAAGCTATGTTGTCAGATGCAGCAACTGCTTAAGGACCCCGTCACGTCAATAGGGTCTCAGTTAGTATCATCACGAGACCTACAATGTAAATTGCTCTCCCAGATGACAAAACTTTGCCTTCAGCTCCAGGAACATTTAGCAAACTCAGAGGGATAAAAGGTGAAGTTGCAAGCAATATCATCAATCACAGCATCTGCTCTCATTTTTTGTGAAACTGGTATCCACTTTTGTCAGCTGATTCTTAGGGGAGAAACTCACTTGTAACCAAAGACAACACTATATGCGGCAAGCATCTCCTGTTGGACGGGTTTGAACACATGGCAAACATTTATTGAATGAGTAATGCCACTAAGACTATATCTTGGTTGCAAGAGAGAATGTTTCGATTTTTAGGCCCCTAGGGGAATCATATGCTTGGATACCATAGTTCTCTTCTCTCTTTGTAATGCTATGTAATATTCCTTGTGTGTTTATATTGTTTTGTTAAATATAAAAAGAAAATATGGTGAGAGTGATTGGCGTGGATGTTCTTCATCATTTTGCCCTTCATGTAAAATACATGAACAATTTGTGTTTTTTTAGATGAAAATAACAATTACGTAGAAAAACCCCAGAGCAAGAAGATTATCTGTATTGGGTATTTTTATTTATTTTTTCCTTCGTTTGAGTTTTACCTTTTTATGATTGCATGAGCATGCTCGTACTTGGTAATAGTATCGAGAGTAAATAGATTGTGTCTCAAATTTATTAACTTCTAATCGAATGACTGCCTCGAGTGGGGAACTGGCTCGATTTGCTTCTTTTCTGTGCCTTTAGCATTAAAAGGACTTAACACTTTTCTTATCTAAGGAATTAAACCACGATGAAATTTCTTTAAACACGCAGGAAAATTCTTTCTTGACGAGCAAGTAAACTTGCGGCCTAACTCGTGAGATAATCTAAACCATTAGCCACGTGTTGGCCGCTGATAGGAGCTTGGGAGCTCATTGCCATGATCGTCTCGGACTGTTGATCTCATCGTGATCAGGCATTTTTTCCTCTTGGTGTAAGCAGCAGGGACAATGCATCGGTGAAAAGAGAAATGAATAATGGTGTGGAGAGATATTTTAAGAAATACTTGCCAATACAAAAAAAGTGCGACCACCGGGTGCATATTTGCTCACCACCCTATTCATCACCCTTGAATAAGTTTAAATTTTGAGATTTATGTCTATTCACTGCACAGATCTCGAAATTTTAAACTCATCTAACCATGATAAATAGAGTGGCGGGCATCACCATACTTGCTTCTATAAGAATAGAGAATTGTTCAATCGTGCACTATAAACTTTCTAAATTTAAAAAGAAAAGTCTGTTTGGAGTGCACGAGTAGGGTGGTGTGCACAAATCCAGAAACGAGTAAGCAAGTTTACAGGGAGCACAGCAGATGTCTTCTACTCTTCTGATGAAAGTTTATAAGAAGCTTCGGCGCGTGCTTCCTCCAGCCTCATCAATAGGTCCTTCATGAAAGGTGTGCTTGTCCCATGAGTAATCCGCAGAATATCTACGGCCTTGGTCAGGGATTTGACAGCGTTCTCCGTGTCTCCTAGTAACCTGTATGCAATAAATTAGTTTGTTTAGAGATTCACCAGAGAACTGTTACCACAATTCAAGCTAAAATACTAACCATTCGAGCTTCCCGCATGTATAATATTGCAATCCAAGCAAAGGATGACAACCAGGATATACTCCTGCAGTGAAAGGGAGTGAAACTCGACATTAACAGCAGTATTATCTAAAAGAAACAGTGTTACTTGAGTTTCATTTACGAAGAATCAAACATTTAGTTCAAGAGCATATGGACCGCTACAGACAGATTCAACAATATTTCTGATCCGCTTTCTTGAAATTTGTTCACGAGGTAAATGCAGTGTCCATGTCTAAGTAAAACTTCAAACTTGTACACAAAACCTTGTAAGTTAGAGGTTTTCTCTCACAAGTGGAGCACGCACTGGCCTCAATTGACTCAATCCACAATATTCTAACACCTTTCCTTTTCTTCCACCAAAACTTCAATTTATTTTCAATGCACTTTATAGATATGCCCCTTGTCGAGCAACGAGAACAAAAGTAATAGTAATTTTTTATCTAAATTGCACTACTTATAAACTACGGCACCAACTTGAATGGCCAAAAGTTAGGGGGAAAAGTACAGAAATTACACATCTCAATTGTGGAATCAAGTATGAACAACATAAACTTATAAACAAACAACAACAAAGCCTTTTCCCACTAAGTGGGGTCGGCTAAACATAAACTTATAAACGATAAAAGAAATTGAAAAATTGAAGCAAGACATACTTTGATACACTGGAATGGTCAATCTGCAATATGCTAAAGCTGCATTCCAGTCTTCCAGCTCCATCAAAATCTGAAGACAATATGATTTCATTAAAGCAAATGCATCAGGAAGTCACTGCATGCTACCTTCCAGTGTTTGATGTTCTTGTGAAATTTGAATAACCACAATTTACTACTACTTAATTGAGTGTCCAAAATCATTGATCTCAAAATATTTTCTCTTAATAATACAATGAACAGGGCCATCAAACCGAAAAGAAGGAAATATTTTCAATGCTATGCAAAACAGATACCTTTAAAAGCTTCTCCCGAGTTTGCATCAAAGAGATTGAAACCGGATGATACAGTTTCTTCTGCAGTGTCTCAATTGCCTTAAGCCCAGATATAGCTTCCTGGTAATCTAAATATAGTCAAACTCAAGCTGTTCAGTATCAACTATCAATACATGGTGATATCTTTCTGATGAAATTTGAGTTCAAAAATTAGAAGTCAGGAAATATTATCATAAAAATAACATCAGATTGCCCAAAAAAAATGCAAGCAATTCATAGCATAGAGAAAGAAGGATACCGCAAGAGGATGTAGATAAAGGAGCCTTGTCTGACAATGATTTTAGTTCACTTGCTCTCTTCCTTATCTCTTCTTTGCTCCTAACAAGTCCACATTGCTGGCACATGAACCCATCACCATCTGCACATCCAAATTGCAAAAGACGATACTATATTTGCTTCAGCTAGCCACCCGACTCTTATTTTCATTTAAATTCACCCAACCAATTTGACTACAGGTAATACCGTACCAAACTGGCGAATCAAAAAGCCGCTGCATCCCTTATCCTTGCATCGGTAACCTTCAAGACTGGCACTCTCTTGGATATCATCATACTGACCCTTCAATACAAAATGAACTTCATTTTCCATCAGAAAAAGACAAGTTCTATATAACTCAAAGTAACATTCTCAAAATAAAGTATTGAAAGAAGGAATAATCACAAGTACCACTTTAATGCAGCGGGGACATGTGCAAGTGAAATGGTATTGTTCTTTAAGTGCCTTCTGCCGAGTCATAGTGCTTCCAGAAGTTTCTATGTAACTTATCAACACCTTAAGAACAAAAGAGAAGACTTTAGATTTGACATGCAGTCAAAGATTATGCAGTAACAGGATGCCAAGCAACATTACTTCACGGAAAAGGAAGACACAAAACATCTTCAGTGAAGGTTCAAAACATGTTACAGAATCTGTATAATCATATGCAATGATGGAAAAGAAATTGTTAAATATTGGTCAATAATAAAGTTTCTCATTCATTCTGTTAAAACACTTCAAGGGATTGCCAAAGAACAAGCCCCCTTACTCAAGGTTGATGAAGGACGAATCAGCTCTCCTTCAATGTAATATACAATTATGCAAGCAGTCAGGCCTACTATCTATTGCCCTATGATGAAGAATACATCTCAAAAGTTTCAACACATAGACCGCTTAAACCACAATGACCAAAAATATACAGAAGAATTCACTACCTCAGCACCTTTGGGTATATACTGCACAGCACGTACGACAGCAGATCGTCCCTCAAATAACAAAACAGAATTGGGCAGGCAGCTACAGCAGTAGAATCATTTAGCCAAAGTACAGCAAGAGAGTAAAACTAAAAGCACATCAATCCACTAAAACAGTTACCTGTGGTTAATAATGGAAACGACAGGATATAGCCCTGTGCCCAGGGGTCTCAATTCACTGTCACAAATTGTGTGTGCATTGCATGCAAGCTGCATGGATTGAGGAGAATCAAGTTTCAGAAAGATTTCACTCAAATATAAATCGCCTAAGTGGAGACGAACTGTGTGCGTCTTTAGTTATATAAACAGTACATGGGTCTTTTACTAAAAGGATTTCTGGAAATCATGCAGACAAAAGCACAGCAATCCAATAATACAAATTTATAGTTACTCCCACACAGGATGAAGTTCGCATTGGTTGAGCTGGATACTCGCCAAAATCTGAAATTGCTTATAAAGATCACCTTGGAAAAGTTTTCTGCAATCTCCTTTATATTAATATCGGGCCACTGAAGTATCAAGCTGACAAGGTTAGCCATCTGAGCATACAGCACCAGCTGCTTCTCATCAATCTCTGACATGTCTTCATTAATCAAAAAGAAAAACAGAAAACAAGAGTTAAATAAAACAGTAAACAGCATCAACAAGAAACAAATCTTAATCGGAAAAGGCCGAAAAGGATACGAGCAACTAACGCCTCCACCAACTTATAGTTGTCCACAGCAGAAGAAGGAATGATCTGAAGCAAAAGCTTAAAAAGCATTAATCTATCAAACCCAAAAAAGAAATTAAAAATTAACAAAAACCCAAAACTAAAAATTGAGTCTTTACCTTCTCAGCTTGCAATTTGGTTCGGAGGTAGAGCTTGATCATGAGACGAATCGACGGCGTGACGGCCATCCGTCTCTCCTTCTGAAGCTTCGAGAGAGCTTCACATTCCAGACGATGCAGCTTCCATTCAAACTTCTGCAAATTACCAAAGCCCAAGACTTCAACGAACGCGACCAAAACTTCATGAGTGCAATGCAATCCCTAATCCGAAACCCTAGCGCTTACCTGGCATGAGCTGCAACAATAGTACACAACCTGACAAGCCGAGCATTTCTTGAGATTACTCGATTGGAAGCAAGCGTCGCACCTGGATTCCGCCGGGGAGTTGTTCGGCACGCAAACGTACGGCTCCTGGAGGATTATCACTTCCCCTGCAGTTCAAAACCTCCAGTGTTGATGTTCTGAAGAAGCAGAGCTAGAGAGAGAGAGAGAGGGAGGAGAGAGAGAGAGAGAGCACCTGGAGAGAAGTCTCTGGTGGTGAAGAGGGAGCGGCCTTTGTCCGGAAGATTCGAAACGGTTAAGCCGCGATTTTCAAGAGCTCTCTGCAATTCTTCCATGAGCACCGTTCTGTGTTTTGCTTGCTCTTCACCGCCGAACGCCGTCACTGGTGGTGAAGTTTGATAGAGCAAATGATTTATTTTCAGGTAAATTCGGGTTTGCCTCTGAATTTTTATGGTAAATTACATTTTGCATCAACACATTTAAAAGTCAATTGCAACTTTTTACCAAAAATTTTAAAGTATTTCAATTTTATATATATTTCAGTATCATTAGGCGATTATAAAATCTGTTAAATTAGTCATTAAATTATGACGTAGTAATAATAAGTTTCATATTTGTGCAGAAGTGACTGACAAACTTGTGTCAAGTGGTTACAATTTAAGGAAAAAAAATCATCATCTTAATTCGTGCAATCATCTTCCCAGTCCATCTCTTCCAACCCAAGTAACTAAGTTCTTCTCAATAATTATTAGTTTTAATTTATACTTTAAATTTATTGTTAATTTAGTTAAACTACAGTTGGATTTTTTCAAATATAATCATTGAATTTGAATTAATTATTGCAACTGAGAAGTTGAGGTCCAAAAAACGGAGGGGGCTACATTTGGCTAGCCTGATGGCCCTTTGACCGAATAATGGTATGGTGAGCTCTACATAATTATCTGTTGGAGATGAGTTTTTTTGACAAATCTGATCATTTATATTATTATTTATTATTTATTTCAATATCATACAACGGTTAAAAAAATCTGTTAAATTAGTCATTAAATAATGATTAGTAATAGTAAGTTTCATCTTTCCTCACCCAGGTAACTAAGATGGCCTTGCCATTGGTTTTCATGCTCCCAAACTCCAACTATTTGATGTTTCTCGGTTACTACGAGAAAAGCAGCCCTGGTTGTAGCAGGATGAACAGCACCACTCCTATCCAGATCGGCCCCAATCGGCCATTGTTGCTTTAACAAAAATCAGTTCTCAGATTAAATTTTGGATTTACGGATTTCGATTTTCGGGCTGGGGGTTAAAGTTGCAAGCTTTCGGTTTTTGTGATGAATTGGGGAATTCGGGATGAATTGCTTTTCGGAATTTGGAAATGAGTTTGTAATTTTGTGATTGTCAATTGTAAAGCAACCACGACAAGCTGACATTGAAATGGGGTTGTAAAGCTTTAAGCTTTTATAAACATAACCGAATTGAATAGGTTGGTGATATGATTTGGACAGTGATTGAGCACGGCCAACCCGTCTACTTAAATGAAAGCATTTTTGCTCACAATCATTTAATGTAATATATGCACATTATCCTATTTATCATTGTTAGTCGAATTTGAATTTTGAGATTTGTGCTTATCCACTACACGAATTTCGAAATTCAAACTCATCTAATGGTAATTAATAGAGTGATAAGCATATACCACACTAAATAATAGTGAACAAAAATGCTCCCTGCTTAAATAAGTGCTAAATGGAACTAAACAGTTGGTATCGGAGGAGTAAAGTGATGCGTATGGTGCCGGATGAGGAGAAGCTCCCCCGTCACAATCCCCCTCGATTTCTTGATTGTAAGTTTGCGCCTCTGCCTCCTCTCGATTCATGCTATGTCTTTTTTAATTGGGTTTGGAATTTTAGTTGCTAATTAGTTTTTGGTTTTGCGGTATTGTGTTGTATGAGTGGGAGAGGCTGAAGGCGGGGCAGAGGCTTGATATTTTTCCACTAATATTTTAAAGATGTTACATGAGGTTGCAATAGATTTTAAATCTGAGGAGGTAAAATATCGATATGCAAATTTATGGAAGTATCGATAGATCAAATTGCCTTTGACGGATAGTATGAAAATTTGCAATGGGGTGAGTATATCAACTCACTTAAATTTTTTTTTTGGGTCAAACGATAGATTTTGTTAGATTAGATGTTAGATTAGCCATTGACGAAATTTGAACCCACGCCACCATGCAAGGGCTCAACACCTTTCCACCACTGCGGTAAGTGACCACTTAAATTTAGTTGAAAGGAGAAAAATAATTTTTTTAAAAAATGTTCAAAATTTCAAAATCTGCAATGAATTTCTGCAAAATTTATTAGTGCATCGATAAATAATAAATATCATAAATATTTATTAATTTTCTTATTTATCACCAATAAAAGGTAAAGTTTGCACTTCACCTCTCTTTCCTTATCAATCCTCAAATTTTCAAATATTTCAACAAAAAGATCAATAATTTTGTGACTATTTTAAACGTTGATTGCACAACAAATTTTGAAGGAGCGCGTTTAGTATTACATTACGAGGATCTTGTACCAAGTGAGAGACCAAGCCTAGCTAGCACTCCCTTCAATAAAAAAATTGATAAATTGGTAGGCTTTTAGACCTTCTCCATATGAGATGTCAAAAATGCCACATAGACATATAACAGTAACAACTGATGTACCACTTACTCCAACTGAGATGTCAAAGATGACATGGAAAAGAAGGCTAGGCTGACATGGATAAAGAAATGTCAAATTTGAAGTTGCCTTCAAATTTAATTTTTGTTATTTCCAAAGGCATTCCACTTGCCTTACCTTAAATGTTAGCATATTTAAGTATTATTTTTAAACCAAACAACAACTCAACTTTTATTATTTTTGTTTAAAAAATATAAATGAAGCAATAAATTTGGCATATCAGGTGGAATAAAAATATTGACAATATGTCAAATTACCTAATCAACCATCAAATTGAAATTTTATGTTTTCAATTTGACGTCTCATTTGGAGATGTTTTAGGATAGTATTATCAACATATTCCTTTCTACCTTCTTCTGCACACACTTCTCAATTTCTAACCGTCGAATCTATGAATTGAATATGATTAAATGACAAAAATAGAAGTGGTACGTGGAAAGTAGAAAAGGCATGTGTGGACTTTTTTAGGATCAATCTGGAAGGATAAAAAAGCTAAAGCACCAATTTGAAAACACCTGAAACTTTTAAGTGGTAAAAATGCAAGTACTCTTTTTTCAATTTTTTTGTCTGTGAGGTGGCTGGTTCGCAGAGACGACGTGGCATCTCCCAACGAACCCGTCTGTTCTTCCTCTCGACTTTTTGTCGAATTCTCCGTCCCAAAAGCCGAAACGTTTCCCTTCTCACTGAAACTTCTTGTTCTTCCGAATGGAATGTCCTTCGCCTCCACCACCTCGCTAGGGCTTTCCACCGTACAAAGCTCACTGAGGAACGCCGTTTTCTCGAAGCAGTCAAATTTCAGTCTCCCTCTACCCGCCGCCGCCGCATTAGGTTTGTTCTGCTGTCTACCTACTGTTTGGTTACCGAGAAAATCCAGTAAACTGATTTCATTTTTGAATTTTCAGCCATGGACTGCGACCCGAATTGTACGCTGTTTTTGTGCGGGAAATCGCCGGCGGAGAACGAGGCTGCCAAGGCGCTGAAGAACAGCAACGCGCTGAAGCTCCCTGAGACCACCGAGTTTTCGATTTTCTTACAATCGGAATCCGAAAAGCCGGTCAAGGAAGACGCTTTTGGAGTCGATTCGTTCATGAGCTCGCTATCTACCAGTCGGTTCGGCAGGTTCCTCCTCTGGTCTCCTCGCCTGCCTTCCACACACGACGTCGTTTCTAAGTAAGTTTTGCTGAAGACTGAATTTTTAGTTCTCTGAACTCTGAATTCAAGTGAATGATTATTTTCCGGATTGTGAATTCGAGGTTTTAGTTTGTTCTCAGGAATTTCTGTGAGCTGCCGGTCGGTGCTGTTTGTGTAGCTGATATTCAGTACAAAGGGAGAGGTTTGAAAACTACTTGGTGGTTGACTTTGATTGACTGATTATTGTATTGAATTTGCTGGAATTCAGTTTGTTCTGCGATTTCCGCAGGGCGGTCGAAGAATGTGTGGGAATCTCCCGAGGGTTGCCTTCTGTTCTCCTTTACATTGCAAATGGAGGATGGCCGAGTCGTGCCTCTTATACAGTACGTGGTTTCTCTTGCTGTCACAGAGGCGATAAAAGATGTTTGTGATAAAAATGTGAGTGCATTGTTCGTAACGAGTTTGATATAAAAAGGATTAAAAAGTTAACTTTGTCAAATTTATATGTGAGTTTATGTATATGACATGCATTGCTAGTAACTGTGTAGCGATTAAGTAAGATTTGTTGAAATTGGAATTCGTTAAGTAATAAGTATTCTATCGTATGTTTCTAGTTTGATACATTAAGAGGTTGCCTGATATGATCATCTTGACGTCGAGGTATAGATACCAGTTGTCGGTGGTACTTTTAACTACAGAAAGATTACATCACTCATATATACTAGCCGATCTGTAATAAACTGCACGAAGATAATTGTTGAGGCTCTGATTATAGTATATTTGGCTACTTGGACTGTGAACATTGCACATGATTGTTATATAACAATTTTGAAGTTAATATGCTGATGCTACAGTCCAGAATTTGATACACTTTGTGATGGGTGCATCTTCTGAATTTCAGGGCTTGCCATATGTTGATGTTAAAATAAAATGGCCAAATGATCTTTATTTAAATGGCCTAAAAGTGGGAGGTATTTTATGCACCTCAACATATAAGTCGAAGCAGTTCAATGTCTGTGCTGGTAATTAGTCTCATTCTCTGGGTGCTGATTAGCAGGTCTGATTGCAAATAAGCATGCTTTGAAACACCTATTGGCTGCTTCTTACTTTTCGATGGACCCTATTCCTTTCAAGTATTATATGAATGCCACCACCACAATAAGCACGCGTGCATTAATGGATATCAAAGAATAAATTCTATGCTGAAGATGACAAAGATTCTTTTGTTCTGTTCTTGCAGGTATAGGTTTGAACGTTGATAATGAGAAACCAACTACATGTTTGAATGCATTTCTTAGAGAATTGTCGGTTACGACATACAAATTTAGAAGAGAAGATGTTCTTGCCGCCTTCTTTAACAAATTTGAGATGCTATATGAAGTTTTTATAAATCAAGGTAAAAATTCATCACGTCAGTTATCAAAAATGTCATCTGATATATCAATTAGACTATTCCTTCATTTTGATTTTAATGCTTAATCTTACAGTTTCACCCCAACTATGTGGGTTGGTTCCTCTCTATCTAAACTTTTTCTTTTATGTTTCCAGCCAGCTAGAATATTCTGTATATCAACATTGAATTTTTTGCTTGATACCAAAATTTGA